CTCCAGGTGTTTCTTGACTTCTTACTTTCGCATTCCCGTCCCCTATAATGAAAAGGACGTCTTTTTTGGGTGTTAGTTCTATAAGGTCTTGTAAGCCGTCATAGAACCGTTCAACTTGAGCTTCATCAGCATTGCTGGTTGTGGCATAGGCTTGGATTACCATGATATTGAATCGTTTGCCTTGGAACTGAACAGAGATCATTCTGTCATTTTTGAGATGGCATCCAAGTACTGCATTTCGGACTGTTTTCTTGACCATGATGGCTACTCCATTTGTTCTAAGGGATTCCTGTCCACAGTAGTAGACATAATGGTCATCTGAGTTAAATTAACCCATTCCAGTCCATTTTAGTTCACTGATGCCTAGACTGTCGACATTCACTCTTGCCATGTCCTGTTTGACCACTTCCAATTTGCCTTGATTCATGGACCTAACATTCCAGGTTCCTATGCAATATTGCTCTTTACAGCATCGGTCCTTGCTTCTATCACCAGTCCCATCCACAACTGGGTATTGTTTTTGCTTTGGTTCCATCCCTTCATTCTTTCTCGAGTTATTTCTCCACTGATCTCCAGTAGCATAGTGGGCACCTACCGACCTGGGGAGTTCCTCTTTCAGTATGCTATCATTTTGCCTTTTCATACTGTTCATGGGGTTCTCAAGGCAAGAATACTGAAGTGGTTTGCCATTCCCTTCTCCAGTGGACCACATTCTGTCAGACCTCTCCACCATGACCCGACCGTCTTGGGTGGCCCCACACAGCATGGCTTAGTTTCATTGAATTAGATACTTCTGTGGTCCTGTGATCAGATTGGCTAGTTTTCTGTGATTATGGTTTCAGTGTGTCTGCCCTCTGATGCCCTCTCACAATACCTACCGTCTTACTTGGGTTTCTCTTACCTTGGACATGGGGTATCTCTTCACGGCTGCTCCAGCAAAGCGCAGCCACTGCTCCTTACCTTGGATGAGGGGTTATCTTCTCACAGCTGCCCCTCCTGACCTTGAACATGGAGTAGTTCCTCTCGGCCCTCCTGCACCCACGCAGCCACCGCTCCTTGGATGTGGGGTAGCTCCTCTCGCCCACTCCTGCGCGGTCGCAGCCTGGTGCTCTCGGTCGCCACCCCTGACCTTGAGCAAGGGCTAGCTCCTCACGTCCATGCTTCTGCGTGGTACATCGCAGCCAGCGCTCTTCTGCTTCCTAGCAGAAGCAGAAGATATTAAGAAGAGGTGGCAAGAATACACAGAAGGACTGTACAAAAAAGATCTTCACGACCCAGATAATCACAATGGTGTGATCACTCACCTAGAGCCAGACATCCTGGAATGTGAAGTCAGGTGGTCCTTAGAAAACATCACTACGAACAAAGCTAGTGGAGGTGATGGAATTCCAGTTGAGCTATTTCAAATCCTGAAAGATGATGCTGTGAAAGTGCTGCACTCAATATGCCAGCAAATTTGGAAAACTCAGCAGTGTCCACAGGACTGGAAGAGGTCAGTTTTCATTCCAATCCCAAAGAAAGGCAATCCCAAAGAATGCTCAAACTACCATACAGTTGCACTCATCTCACACACTAGTAAAGTAATGCTCAAAATTCTCCAAGCCAGGCTTCAGCAACACATGAACCGTGAACTTCCAGATATTCAAGCTGGTTTTAGAAAAGGCAGAGGAACCAGAGATCAAATTGCCAACATCCGATGGATCATCGAAAAAGCAAGAGAGTCCAGAAAAACATCTATTTCTTTTTTACTGACTATGCCAAAGCCTTTGACTGTGTGGATCACAATAAACTGGAAAATTCTGAAAGAGATGGGAATACCAGATCGCCTGACCCACCTCTTGAGAAACGTGTATGCAGGTCAGGAAGCAACAGTTAGTACTGGACATGGACCAACAGACTGGTTCCAAATAGGAAAAAGAGTACGTCAAGGCTGTATATTGTCACCCTGCTTATTTAGCTTATATGCAGAGTACATCATGAGAAACGCTGGGCTGGAAGAAGCACAAGCTGGAATCAAGATTGCCGGGAGAAATATCAATAACCTCAGATATGCAGATGACACCACCCTTATGGCAGAAAGTGAAGAGAAACTAAAGAGCCTCTTGATGAAAGTGAAAGAGGAGAGTGAAAAAGTTGGCTTAAAGCTCAACATTCAGAAAACTAAGATCATGGCATCTGGTCCCATCACTTCATGGCAAGTAGATGGGGAGACAGTGGAAGCAGTGTCAGACTTTATTTTGGGGGGCTCCAAAATCACTGCAGATGGTGATTGCAGCCATGAAATTAAAAGACATTTACTCCTTGGAAGGAAAGTTATGACCAACCTAGACAGCATATTAAAAAGCAGAGACATTACTTTGCCAACAAAAGTACGTCTGGTCAAGGCTATGGTTTTTCCAGTGGTCATGTATGGATGTGAGAGTTGGACTGTTTAAGAAAGCTGAGCACAGAAGAATTGATACTTTTGAACTGTGGTATTGGAGAAGACTCTTGAGAGTCCCTTGAACTGCAGGGAGATTTAACCAGTCCATCCTAAAGGAGATCAGTCCTGGGTGTTCATTGGAAGAACTGATGTTGAAGCTGAAACTCCAGTACTTTGGCCACCTCATGTGAAGAGTTGACCCATTGGAAAAGACCCTGATGCTGGGAGGGATTGGGGGCAGGAGGAGAAGGGGAAGACAGAGGATGAGATGGCTGGATGGCATCACCGACTCGATGGACATGAGTTTGAGTAAACTCTGGGAGTTGGTGATGGACAAGGAGGCCTGGCGTCCTGCGATTCATGGGGTCGCAAAGAGTCGGACACGACTGAGCGACTGAACGGAACTGACTTAAAGAAGTTGAAGTAGTCATCTTCCAGTGGAAGTTCTTTGTATTATGTATCCTTTTCATTCTCTAGCTACAGATACTCTGTACAGGAGGTAGGCTATTTCAATTAGACATTTCCTGCCTGCTCCTTTCTTTGGCCATGTGTTTCCTTAAATCATAGATTGATTTGCTAGTGCGTATGTTAATACAATGAGGTTCACTTAGGCTTTCATCTCATCCCTTTAAGTATCTGTGTTCTGTTGAAACCAGTAGTAGGCTAGTGATTATGGCTGTATTTTTCCAGTTGTGCTGCCAGATATATGTTTTTTGTATCTGTTCTATGTGTTTCCTGATATATGTGTTTCCTATGTCCTTTCTCTTTGCACTGTGTCTTTGATTTCTATAGCACTGGATGTAAAGAAGGCCCTATTTTCTTTCTTTTCTTTTTATTGCATAGATAAAAAGTGGCTTTTCTCTATTGCATAGATAGAAACCATATAACAATAGTTTTGTAAATGAATCCCTTCCCACAACTTACTGTTTGGTCCTTGGAAATGGTACCTTGGTAGTCATTTTTTTCCTTTTTTTAAATTCAACTTTATTTTATTGTGGTAAGAACACTTAAATTAGGTCTACTGTCAACAGTTTCTTAAATATCTAATAAGGCTATTATCTGTAGGCACAATGTTGTACATCGGATTTCCAGAACTTCCATCTTGCAAAGCTGAAATTTTCTACCTGTTTAAAATAATCACTCATTGAAGTGAAGAATAGAATGGTGGTTGTCAGGGCCTAGGAAGAGCAGGAAATGGGTAGTTGCTAATCAATAGGTTATTAGTTACCTGTAGTAAATAAGACGAAGGTTCTGGGACAATCCTCTGGAGGAGGGCATGGCAAGCTGCTCCAGTATTCTTGCCTGGAGAATCCCATGGACAGAGGAGCCTGGTGGGCTACAGTCCATAGGGTCGGGAAGAGTCAGACATGACTGAAGCAACTTAACACACACACAAACACACAGTGAATAATACTTAACAGTCACTATACCCAAGGATGTAGTTGTTTGCACTTGAGGCATAAAAGGAAAGAAGAATGAATTTGGTGGTTTAGTCCTGCAATGAAGCATCAGTTATATTTTTCTGACACCACCTCAATTCAAAATAGAGAAAAATAAATGAACTCCCAAGGCCATTTCTTCCAAAGCACCACCATACACAAACTCTTCTGAAGGTTGGGGGAAATGTACAGGGGAAGGTTTGTTTAAGAATCTCCCTCTCAATAAGGAACAGTTATTTGCCAACTAGTTAAAAGCATTGCTTCTTCTAAGCAGGAAAGTCAGTATTTTGGATCCTCCAAATGCTACCAACAGAATCTAAATCAAATATGAGCAGCACATCTTAGAATTGCCTTAATTGCCTGTGGTCTGCAAAGCTGACCACTAAGTGCTTAAGAATCCAAATGTGAAATACTTAGTCTTGGGAGCCTGGGAGAATGGCTCCTAATTCTTTTGTTTATTGGTTGGAAGAAGTGCTTTGGGGGTAGAGAGATATCATAAAGGCAAGAAAGAGCTTAGAGCTCAGAGCCAAGAGGCCCGGGTTCCTGCCCGGATCCTGCTCTCAGGGGTGGGGGTCGGGGGGCTGAGGCTGTCTTGGCTTTCAGGAAGCAGTGTAAACTGATGAGGACAAATAGATTCTGTGCAGTGATGCATCTTGCGAGCTCCACGGTGGCTCTGCAGGCAGCTAGGCTGGGGAGAGGCTGAGCTAAAGTTGAGCAGGGTGCTTTCCTGCAGGACTTCTCAGAGCCTTTCATGTCATTATAATGACAGGTGGTATTTATTAACCGCTTACTCTGAGCCATCACAGTGCTAATGACTTCGAAGAAAAAAAATTTTTTTTTTCTTTTTGTATTCAACTAACCATGTTGATCACTGTGTTTGTATTTTTAGCCCTGCCTGGTCTCATTGAGTAACTCTGGGTACTCTTGACCTCTTAGTGATACTAATGACTGATCTTGTTCATTACTAGCCACCAGCTACATCACAGTCTGGACTCTCCTAGCCCACGTACCCCCCACCACCACTCCCTAACCCCTAACCCTGCCACAAGGCCTTTCCTTTCTCTTTCTCCTTATCTTCTTTAACCTCTTTCCTCCTTCTGCACCCCATCTCCTTTACAACTCCTCCATGATTTTCTTAGGGCTGGGCTTCAACATCGTCGGTGGGACAGATCAGCAGTATGTCTCCAATGACAGTGGCATCTTCGTCAGCCGCATCAAAGAGAACGGGGCTGCAGCCCTGGATGGGCGGCTCCAGGAGGGTGATAAGATCCTCTCGGTGAGAACTGGCTTCCGCCTCCTTCACTGTCCCTGGCTCCTTAGACACTAGTGCCTAACCCCAACCCCTTCCTTGGGAAGATTCCTGCCTGCCTTTTTGGATCTGGAAATACAGTAATTCCCTCACAGACGAATGCATTCGTCTGAGAGCAAGTTCATAAGGCTAATTGGTTCATAAGTCCAACAAAGTGAGCCTTGGTACCCAGCTAACACAACTGGCTACATAGTACTGTACTGTAATAGGTTTATAGTACTTTTCACATAAATAATGCATTAAAAAACAGAAAATGAAACATTTTAAATCTTACAGTCCAGTACCTTGAAAAGTAAAGGAGTACAACAGCTGGCATACAGGGGCTGACAGTGAATGAACAAGCAAGCAGAGTTATTGGAGGAGGGAGAAGAGGTGGGAGATGATAGAGCTGAAGGATGCTTGGCTATAGGAGATGGAGGGCAAGCTGCAGTTTCATCAGTCCTTACATGACTGGACATTCGAACACATACTTGGATCTTTAAACGTTCGTATGTAGGGGACTTACTGTATCCAGATTGCAGAGTTTGGTAAGAGGACCTTGATCAATCATCTTTTCCAGCCCTGCCATAGAGCATGGAGGATAGTACCTCACTCAATGGAGAAGGCAAATTAAATCCAGAATGTGCAGGATTGGTGTGTAGGAAAGGGACTTAAAACTCACATTTTTTTGTTATTCTTTTATTATACTTTATTACTTCCTTTTGTTGATTAAACAGTAAAGTGTGTCTTCCTTTACTCCAAAATTGGAGACAAAAGAGGAAGGTAGGAATTGTCCTTTAGACAATTGTCCTTTTAGACTCAAAGACCTTTTTAAACTCATTATTAAGATGAAATTTGGAATGCAGTCTGATTTGGTTATCTGTCCACCATGCTCCCACTTTACCCTGCTAATGTCTCTAAGAGGGAACTGACTACATGGTGACCATTGATTTTATTATTCTCTGGAAGTTCCTCAAGGGCTCAGACTACATCTTTTTTTTACCATTTATATTCTAGCACGGTGTTTAATATATATATTTAACAAATAAACAAGTTAAGAAATTTAAGAACACCCGGAAAGGTTGGCTGATCTAGAATATAAATAATAGCATCATGGATGGTAATACCCCATTTTAATCCTTCTCACTGATTGTTTTGCTTCTTTACTGGGTCTCCTAGGCCCTGTTTATTAATCTGTGAGATAAAGACAGTAATTATCTACCTAAGTTTAGAAGCAGGTTATTTCCTGTTGCTCCCAGGAAAAAGACATTCTAAAAACATGAAGTCAACTTGAGTGATGTGTTAAGGAAAACTTGAGAATGGGTTGTTAAGATTAAAGTGTAGCATGTAGCTAGAAACTATGCAGTTTAATATTTTGACACATAACTGCATTCTCTTCAAAATACTGGGAACTAGGCTTCATGGTAAAGAGGGACTTGAAAAAAGTAGGGTGAAGAAGAGAGTCATTATTCAGAAGGCTTTGGTTAAAGATAAATCATTGAAAAATGAGAATAGTTAAAAGGTTTTGAGCATTCTGTGCCAAGCAGTATACTGAGATCTTAAAACCTATGTAATATTATAGCAGCCCTATGAGGTGGGTATAATTGTTATGCATATTTTGCCGCTAAGGAAGCTTGGTGAAGTCAAAAAACCTGCCCAAGGTCATGTAACTAGTAGATGGCAGAGGACTTGGTCTGCAAATTTGGAACCTCTACTCTTAACCCATATACTATATTGCCTCCTAAAAGATAAATGAAGAGCCGGGGTTCTTTATCCTAAAGAGAAAGTTGGATGGTGAATTAGTAGTAGAGTTTATGTATGGTTTTATATAAAAACTGAAATTAGTCTTCTCTATTAAGGGTAAAATGATACAACAAAAGGACATACACCTCAATGTGAGAGAATTTATTAGACCTGAGCCAAGATAAGGAGCCTTTTGTATGTGGGCCATCACCTCAGAGAGAAAAGGAACTACTGGAAGGCCACTCAGGTTTTTTTAAAAGATATGGTAGGAGATAAATGTCAATGAAGAGAAAAGTAGATGTCTAAAAACCTCAGCTCAATTGTCTTTAAAATTTATAGCAGAGAACTTGACTTTATCAAAATACAAAAAATTTATTATGAAGATCTCTTGCAAGATATAAGACATTGCAACTATATATAAGACATATTCCAAAGAATGAAGTTTATGTTCTGGCCAGGTAAGGAAGAGGTATGTAAAAGAACGGAGGATAAAATGCCAGGCGAACAAAAGGCAAAGATATAAGACAATATTCTTACCTGGAAAATGCCATGGATAAAGGAGGCTGGTGGGCTACAGTGCATGGGGTCACAAAGAGCTGGACATGACTTAGCAACTGAGCACCCATGGTATCTCACTATTGTTTGGGCTTCGCTGGTGGCTCAGTGGTAAAGAATCTGCCTGCCAACGCAGGAGATGTGGGTTCAGTCCCTGAGTCGAGAAGATCCCCTGGAGAAGAAAATGTCAACCCACTCCAGTATTCTTGCCTGGGAATTCCCATGGACAGAGAAGCCTGGCAGGCTACAATCCATGGGGTCACAAAAGAGTCAGACACGACTCAGCGACTAACTACAGCAACAACCCTCTTCCCTACTTCACCACACCTCGGGGAATACAGTCACCCTCACCACAGTTCCCCTCTTATTCTTTGCCTTCCTCACAAGACAGATACTGAGAGAAATAGAGAAGACTGAAGAAAAGACAGAGCTTATACAAGAAGAAAAAGCAAGCATGTTCTCTGTTCTGTCGAGGGCTACATTCTTTGTCTCCAGCTCCCCTTCTCCGAGTGTGCTGCAAAATTTAAATTCTAGAACCCGTTTCTTAAGAAATATTGCCTCACCATCCTGTTCCCTCGGTATCCTTAAGTGTACTTGTTAGGCGTTAACCATTAAATGGTTCCACCTGTTCTTGAGCTTGCTTTATCTCTTTGATGTAGTTAAGAGCTCATTTATAATTAACTTTGGAGCCTCTATAAAATGATGCTCAATTATTTATTGGCCTGTATTCCCATTTGTTCTTTAAGGGCTTCTATATTTTCCTCACATGGTTATTTTTCCATGTTGTAAAGTTTGCTCCGACTGTTTCTGGTGCTAGGTAATCAGACTAAGAATATGTCCTTTCTTTAGTACATATTCATTTTTGGTAACTAATAGAACTATCATTAAATGATGTAGATTTCATGTGAATAATTATTGACTATTAGTTCAAAGCTTCCCTGGGGACTCAGATGGTAAAGAATCTGCCTGCAATGCAGGAGAAGAGTTTTGATCCCTGAGTCAGGAAAATCCCCTGGAGAAGGGAAGGGCTACCCACTCCAGTATTCTTGCCTGGAGAAGTCCATGGACAGAGGAGCCTGGCAGGCTACTGCCATGTGGTCACAGAGTCGGACATGACTGAGCAACTAACACTTTCACTTTTCACTTAGGAGATCAGTTGGAAACTAGAAACTCTCAGCCAGTCAGTTTCAGAGACATTGAAATATGCAGAATCCTTTAGACAGAGTCACTTCAGTCGTGTCCGACTCTGTGCAACCCCATCCATGGGATTCTCCAGGCAAGAACACTGGAGTACCTCTAAGGAAAAGTCCTTGTTTTCTCATCTCCGTTAGCACCATGTACACCTGTAGCTGGCACAGAGTAAGCATCTAGTAAGCTAGTTGCTCTGTGAATGAAGCTCGGTCACCTAGGAACTTATTGCAAATGCAGAATATTAGGAATGAATTGTAACCGACCTTTTTGGTTTGACTTGATTAATTGGAACTAGACAATCTTTTTTTTCCTTTAATGAAAAAAGAGGATCCCTCCCCCTAAATTGTAATTCATTTCAAGATTTGGGGGAAGAATTAAATTATCCAGAGTATAATCTGAGGTCAGTGCTTACTAAATTGAACCCATTCTTTCTCTGTATCTTACACATCTGCATTTATATTATCCTATAGTTAGCACTCCAGTAACTCTTACATTATCCTAAATGTTAGATTATCTTAATGCTGTCCAAAATTACTAATCATCCAAGAAGGCTTATTTTAACTCAGTTTACTCCTTTTCTAAGGCAGGAAATGGGAAGCTCATTTTTAAAAACTGATAACAGCCATAGTTAAAGCAGAAAAATCATATGACTCCCCACTGGTTAACTAGAATACCACAATCTTAACACTGATCATTCAGTTAACAAAATTTTCTAGCATGTTGCAAGTCTATCATATCTCAAGTTTAATACAACTTACAATACCGTGAGTTAAGGAAACTGAAGTAACAAGTTTAGCAGTATTCTAAGATTTCTCAATTGAATAGCTCTTGGTAGTAAAAGTGAGGGGTCCAAGGACCATCTACCCATCACCTGGGAGTTTATTACAAATGCAGAGTCTCAGGAAACAGCCTGTAGATAAATTTTGAGAAGCACAGCTATAGGCAAGTGTTTTTCAAGCATTTCAAATTATAACCTGTAATGGGAAATGCACACACATGCACATAAGCAAAATTAAACAAAATAATACCTATCTCTTCTCTATGTGATGCATTTTGATATGTTGTATTTTCCAATTTCATTTATTTAAAATTATTTCTCTTATTTAAAATTCTAATCTTGACCCACTGGATTGACTTCACTATCTTTTGTAATGGGTCAACAGACCTGTCTTTGAAAAATCACTACTCCAGTAAATGGAAAATCATTGATGGTGTCTGTGGATGCATAGACTATGGATTAAGTAGGGTAAGTAGACTGGGTATAAAGAAAGCTTCAAGTAATTTAGGTTAAAGCTAATTCAAACTTCAGAATCACCAGATTACTAGAATAGGTCCTAATAAATTGCACTTTTAACAAATTCCCAAGTTAATGCTGCTGGTCCTGAGACCATTCTTTGAGAACCTTTGGTTTATATTATTAGGTTGGTACAAAAGTAACTGCAGTTTCAAACCATAAATTTTAAATTGTTATAACCAGGATCAGACACACCTTTATTAATCAAAATAGGAGCTATTACAATCAACACATTTTTGCCAATGAGAAATAAGTTTTTTTATTCCTGTAGGGTAAAGATCTGTACTTTGGGATTCAATGAACTCTTGGAAAGCATTTTCTGCCTCTGCTGTTTGTGGAAGCGTTTTGCCTGCAAAAAATTGTTGAGATACTTGAAGGGTAGTTGGTTAGCGAGAGGTTAGATGAACATGGCCCATGAGGCAAAACTTTGTAGTCCAATTCGTTCAACTTTTAAAGCAATGGTTATGCGATGAGCAGGTGGACATTGTCATGGAGAAGAATTGGGCCTATTCTGTTGACTGATGCCAGAGGCAGGCATTGCAGTTTTCGGTGCATCTCATCAATTTGCTGAACATACTTCTCAGATGTAATGGTTTCACCAGGATCAGACCAGCCGCAGACCACCAAACAGTGACCATGACCTTTTTTATGTACAGGTTTGGCTTTGGGAAGTACTTTGGAGCTTCTTCTCAGTTCAACCACTGAGCCAGTTGTCATATAAAATCCACTTTTCATCACATGTCACAGTCCGAGAAATGGTTTGTTTTGTTGCGTACAATACGAGACGACAACACTTCAAAAATGACTATTTTTTTGTTTTTTGGTCAGCTCAGGAGGCTCCCAGTTATCAAGCTTCTTCACCTTTCCAATATGCTTCAAATGCTGAATGACCTTGAGTGGTCAACGTTGAGTTCCAGGACAACTTCTTGTGTAGTTGTAAGAGGATCAGCTTCTATGATTGCTTTCGGTTGGTTGTCAACTGCCAGTGGCCAGCCATTGCACTTCTCATCTTCAAGGTTCTCGTCGTCTCTTTTGCAAAACTTCTTGAACCACCACTGCACTGTGTGTTCATCAGCAGTTCCTGGGCCAAATATGTTACTGATGTTACAAGTTGTATCCACTGCTTTATGACCCGTTTTGAACTCAAATAAAACAATTGTTTGAATTTGCTGTTTGTCTAACATCAGTCATTTCTATAGTCTAAAATATAAAATAAACAGTAACAAGTCATTATTAAAAGAACATAAAGCAAGAAATGCACTTTAAATAATGTAGAGCATAACCACATTTATTTAAGAATGTATCCCAATATCAAATGGCATATTTCAACAGTGTAGAACCACAGTTACTTTTGCACCAACCTAATAGGATTGTGATAGAGTGGATTCCACATATATTTAGGATTAAAATCTACAGCACTTGGAAGTTAGCCTGTATGAACTGGAATCTGTAAAAACACTTAGAGGAGGTAAATATTAGAAAGCAAATTCAGCTTTAGAGTAGAGAGATGTATACTTTTCAACAGAGAAAGAATCATTAGTTTTATGGAGCTGTTTTACCTCCCACATACTTGGGCAAAGGATGAGAAATGGTTCTTTAAAAAAGAAATGCCCTTTGTATTTCTAAAAGACTTTTTTTTTTTTTAAGGCAGTTAGAGTAACTGACCTCTTAGAATACCTTTAGAAAACTAGGAGGGTTGAAAGAAATCACTGGCCTGTGCTCTTCTTTTGCCTGATGTCACCCAATGTCTTTCTTCCCTCTTGGCAAAAGGAAGCTCACGCGACGACCAAGATTACACTTGTTGTCCCAGCAACAAATGCTAAAGGAACTTCTCGAAGCAGGGAAGATACCAGAAACTTAAAACAACCTTTTACATATATAGACTGCTGTATCAAAACTTCATGGGAACAGCAAACCCTAAAACTACAATAGATACACACACACATACACATACTCTCTCTTACATACACTCTCATACACAAGAGAAAAAAAAAGCAATCCAGTCGTCATCGAACCACAGGAGGAGAGAACAAGAGAGGAATGGAAGAAGAAAGACTTACAAAGACAAACCCAAAACAGGGCCTCCTTTGTGTCTCAGTGGTATTTAATCCACCTGCCAGTGCAGGAGACACAGGTTCGATCCCCAGTCCAGGAAGATCCCACATGTGTCGGAACAGCTGAGCCCATGCGTCACAACCATTGAGCCTGTGCTCTGGAGCCCGGGAGCCAAAGCTACTGAGCCCGTGCTCCTGCTGCTCAGGAGCTTCCGTTGTGTCCGACTCTCTGCAACCCCAGACGTTGTAGCCAGCCAGCCTCTTCTGTGCATGGGATTCTTCAGGCTAAGACACTGGAGTGGGTTGCCATTTCCTCCCCTGGGGGGTCTTCCTGACCCAGGGACTGAATCTGCGTCTTGTGTGTCCCTGTACTGCAGGCCGGCTCTTTACTGCTGAGCCCCCAGGGACGCGCATGCACCACAGCCTCTGAGGCCCTCGCAGCCTAGAGCCTGTGCTCCACAACAAGAGAGGCCCTCGCGCTGCAGCTGGAGAGTAGCCCATGCAGCAGCGAAGACCCAGCACAGCCAAAAATAAATAATTTCTTAAAAAAAAAAAGAAATGAGAAAGCAGCACTAAGAGGATATTAAGAAACTTTAAGGGGAAAAGAATGAAAATGGAGAGAATGTTTGTCATAAGTTCTCAGTATTCTCAAAAAAGTTAAGAATCTGCTGAGAACAGAGGTGGAATTGGAGTTTGATGGTAGGAAAGATCTTGGGAACAGCTACCCACTGCATATGTATTAGGGAGTTCACCAGATGAGAAGGGTTGTTAAGATACAGCAGAAGCCAGCTCGCATGGGTCTGTGGTGGAAAAATGTGACTGTGTGTCTTTCTCTTGGAATGTTAAACTCCCTGATGACAAGGAAAGGAAATGCAGTGTGTTGCCCAGGACTGGAAAGATGGTAGAAGATCATGGTGATAACAGATTCCAGTAGTTTTCCCGGTGCTTTTTTGGAATAGTAGGAACTCCTGGAAGTGTAAAAGGCATTGATGAGGATGAAGAGGAGATTTTCAGAGATAGGAAGTACAGAGAAAGTAGAATTTTTTTTTTAAAGTTTGAGATATTGGAGCTGAAGCATGCCTAATGTTGAAGTGGAAGGCTTATGCCAGTTGATGACTAGAATGGAATAGAGCTGGAATCCTTCAGTTTGGAAAGGTAGACAGTTAGTAAGACCAGAGTGTTGATGGAGTTATTCATTTAAGAATATTGACAGGGAAAAGACTGGAGGGATAATTATGAACCTCTTGGAGAAGGGAAACTGTGACAAGGAAGAGGAGAAGGTTGAATAAGTAAATGACTTGAGCTTCAGCAGAGGAAAGAATAGTTGGTGAGTCAGGGTGGAGGAGTAATAGTGCAGAAGGAGCAGTAAGAGGCAATAGCACTTCCTTCCAGGATATAAAACTCCTTAGCCCTAGCTTCTACAGTTACTGTGACTTTGGGTAAATTACCTAACCTTGCTAAGCTTCAGTTTTTTTTCATCCGTGAAAACAAGATAAAAATAATGTCTACCTCATAGGATTGTGATTACTCAATGAGATAATGTATGAAAGCATGTAGAACAGAACCTACCAAATATATTAGATGTTCTTGCTGCCATTGCCATGTATAAAAGCTATGAAGGTTTTGCATAACGTGGGCTACTCTGTATCATTGAGTATAGCATAGACTAGATACTGCTTGTGGCCAGTGTCACTCCTGACACAGAAGTGTCGATAGCTGAGTACTTCGCATCTCTCACCTTTAGGTGGTAGGACTCAGCTTCACCAAAACATTTTTAGAAGTTTGTGTCATCACAGAAACATGGCTTTTTTGTAAATTTGAGGAGGATAGGAGTATCCATGGAATCAGTGGAAATTATTCAGAATAGAACAAGAACAATAGAAAAGGCTAGTCAATTTGTACCACATCAAACTAAATTGTGGGAGAGCTTCCTAGTTACATTTCTACAGCCGAAGCTGGCCTGGCCATGCCAGGGATTAAAAATATAAAGGATATAGAGTGGTAACCTGGAAGACCAGTAGCTTTGAAGATGAAAAAGTTACTCTGAGTTCCAAGTAACTTTACCCCTTCTCCTAGCCCTTCGAATTGTCTCTGTTTTTAAATCTGTGGTCACATGTAAGTAAATCTTGACTTATAAGAGTTCCCATTCTGTATCTCTCACTACTTTTCCTCGCTGCTTTTGACAGGTCAATGGCCAAGACCTAAAGAACCTGCTGCACCAGGATGCTGTAGACCTCTTCCGTAACGCAGGCTATGCTGTGTCCCTGAGAGTACAACACAGGGTGGGTGTCATTTGCTGCCACCATGTTTTCCTGACGTTGTTGTGAATTAATCATGTGGTGTAATTTTCAGTAGTGTGTTTGGCTTTTTTCCTTTCCCTCTCGTTCTTTTGAAGAGATTATCTGTCATAGGCAAGGGTCTTCTGAGACTTCTTCTAATCATTAAAGGAAATTCGTAACAGTACTTTGCAACCTGGTAGCTTCAAGGTAATATGCCCCAAAGATAAAGCTTGACAACCAAATTAAAATAAATCGGGAAAAATATAACCAGGCCAGTTTTATTTCTTAGTAGGGGAGGAAACATGTCTTCCCTTGAACATTTTTGTTTATGAAACTCTTTAAGTTTCAGAGGTGGTGGGTTTTTTGATATCCACTATCATCATCATGAATGCTTTTCTTATCAATGGTCTTATTCAATGCTCTTCAACTTGGGGATCCTCTTGACTAAAGGCCTAGTGCTCAAAGGGGAGCTCCAGGAGAAAAGAAATGAGATTCAGAATTTGATCAAGACAGCTACCTATCCCTATATCCTCTCTTTAGTTCCTAGTGTTTTATCGTTTGGATGATAAGAAGAAAAGCCTGAGTGGACGTAATCCTCCTGTAGCATGAAGGACTTTGGAATGCACTTAACAACACAGGTTCATTGTGTTTTTAAAGTTGCTCCTTCTTAAATTGATGCTGTGTTTGCTTCACCCAACTCCTGAGTGAGGCTTCAGAGACTGAAGAATTCAACAGGAGATAGTGAAAGAAGTGGAAAGGGCACAAGGCATGAAAAATACCTGAGAAAACAGTCAGGGTGGCAAGCAGAATCTGGGTGTGATGGATTAGAAAACCAGGTCAATAGGAGACATATTAGTATTCAGCTGCTTCTGCCTTGGCCCTTCTTTGTTTTTAAGCATGGGAGAAAGTATTGATATGCAACAGATAAAGGCAAGCAAATATAGGCATACACTGTAATATGATTAGAGTTAATTTTGAAGGCATGTGAATTCATTTTTTAAGGAAACATCTGTAAATAACTCCAAACAAAACAGATTGTTCTGGTCAAGGAATTGACCTATAAAAGCCATATCTTTCTGTTGAGCATGTTCTCTCAGGACATCTCATCAGGAAATGAATGAAAGCTATAGGGGAGATATAAGATAGAAAAGGTAGTTTTTTCAGTCTTATCTTTCGGATTGAGGGGTCACAGTTTCATGGACTAGTAAGATTAAATCTAACTAAAACAAGATGGCTTCACAGTTACTAAGTTATCTGTTACCAATTAATGTTAATTTAATTCAAAAAGATACATGCCCCCAACATTCATGCTGTTTACGATAGCCAAGACATAGAAGCAACCTAAGTGTCCAGTAACAGATGACTAGAAGATATGGGGTGTGTTTGTATGTGGCAATGGAATATTACTCAGCCATAAAGAATAAAATATTGCCATTTGTAGCAACATGAATAGACCTAGAGATTATCATATTAAGTGAAATAAATCAGAAAAACAAATGCTGTATCATATCACTTATATGTGAAGTCTAAAAAAATGCAAATGAACTTATTTATGAAACAGAAATAGACTCAGAAACAGAAAAAAATTTAGGGTTACCAAAAGGAATAGTGGAGGCAGGGGAAGAGAAAAATTAGGAGTTTCAGATTAACATATATACACTGTTATATATAAAATAAATAATAAGAACCTTCTGTATAACACAGGGAGCTCTATTCAGTATCTTGTAGTAACCTATGATGGAAAAGAATCTGAAAAAGAATATATTTATGTATATACTGAATTGCTTTGCTGAAACTAACACAGCATTGTAAATTAACTGTACTTCAATTTAAAAAAATTTTTTTTAAAAAAAGTTGATGTTAAGAAAGGCTACCTTTTACAAAATTGACTGAAATGAAGAAAGATTACAAGCCTCAAAAGGGAATGTTTTGGCAATGGAAATTATAACCGTTAGGATCTGAAATTTTTTAACTTATATACCTTTGAATCTTTTACCTTCATTCCGTATAAGTTTCACCTTTATCTTTGACTAGTATTACCGAATGGGGGATGAAGGACAGGACCCCATCTTCAGAAGGAGTAGGTGCCTTTCAGGAATTGAAAAGTATTTCTAAATAATGGCATTGCACCTGTCCCATTGCTCAGATCTGCTATTATCACACGCTGACTACTGATAATCTTTCTCAGTAAACATTTCTAGAAAGATGGACACCCCTGCCCTTGCCCAATAATTTCCAGGCTTCCCATAGGATCAGTAGGCTTCATTTCATATCTTCATTTTCCTGGTATGGTATGCATATAGTTTGGTGGAGACGGTGCAGAAATAGAAAGAGGTTGTCTGACTTACCCTTGGGTCCCTTCAGGTCAGTAGCACAGCAAGGTTATATGCCTTTCCATCAGACTTACTTTGTTTCCGAAGAATCAGTGACATTGATGTATCAACTCAGGATAGACCAAGGACACCTTCTGTTTGGTAGTGCTTAGGGCTTACAGCTTTGAGTGATACAGAGTCTGCTGACCCAGGTAATGTGTCAGCTTGGACACTGCGGTTGTGGTAAACACACATTGTCACTAGAGTTAACATTTTTCTTTCCCTTCCAGTTACAGGTGCAGAATGGGCCCATAGGACCTCAAGGTGAAGGGGAGCCAAGTGGCATTCCCATAGCTATGGTGCTGGTGCCAGTGTTTGCCCTCACCGTGGTAGCAGCCTGGGCCTTCATGAGATACTGGCAACGACATTGAAAAACTTGCTTTCTTCCTGTGCTCCCAAAGAAGAAGATACATTTCTCTTTTTCTCTCACCCTCTCCTGCCAATCTTCCATAACTTTCCCTCTACATAGCCAGCTCATGATTTCAAGAGACTGCTACTCAACCAGAATCTTGCTATGCGAAATCTCTGAATCCTCATATTCTCATGGGAGAGTAAAGGCAGTGTTTGAAGGAAAACCGAAAGAAGGACTTGCCTAGAACAAACGAAGAGTTATTTACTAGAACCGCCAATAGAAGTTCAGCTACAACCCAAAAAATGGGAAAGGTCCAGTCTTTCCATCACCTTGCAGTATTCCTTTTTTTCTTACCTGGCATGTGTCAAAGGCCAGCTGTAATAAGAGGAAAAAAGGATTTTTCTCTTTAATCATCTTCCTTAGGAAGTTTTTGTGGCCTTTTATTTAATTTCTAACTATTACTACCTACTTGGGCACCTACTTTGTATCAAACAAAGATGAATGAGAAGAACATTTCTACTTTTAAAAAAAAGCAAATATATATATATCTATATACACACACACACACACATATATACATACATATTCATGTATGATAGTATAATAGTGATGCCTTATGGAGAATTAAAGAAGTGGAAAGCAACTCCGGTTTCTGGGTTTCTGCTGTAAGGATTAAGTGATAGTCTTCAATTGAATTCAGTATGAAGCAAGAGTAATAGAGTGAGACTTAAAAGAGGATATAGCAATCTGAGTCATTAAAAAAAACGAAAACTAAATCAATTAAAAATCTTAGAACAGTGTTTCTTCTTCATAATACCTATGGTGACAGCTGAGGTAAAATGCCATAATCCAGCTTTGTGCAAGTAAGTCTTGAAAAAACCTGGGAAATGTAAACGTAAATCTTACTAGTCTCTGGACTACTCTAGTGACTGCTTTGATACCTCATAGTCCTGTTAAAGGATCAGCTGGAATGACTGTAGTCAGAGCTCTGAGGCCAAAGCAACCCAGTGAAGAAAACTCAGGCCGTCTACCAGTCTTTCCTGTTTCTGGTAACAGGCAAACTCTGAGAGAGGGACTGCTCCCCAGCGGGACGGGCATGAAATCAGCTCTCCTTCGATTCAGTTAAGTTGAAACGGTTTGGGTTGCTGATTTTTCTTTTTTTGAAAGGTTCTAAGCACTGGTTATGGCTTTTAATGAATGAACTATTTTGCAAGGAAGGGGAAGAAAGTTTTGTTTGTTTTAGGGGCTCTGGAAGTTTGGTGTCTGTTTTGTGGGGAAAACTTACGGATGAATGGATATTAAGGAATAGCAAGGGCACTAATGAGGTGGGAACCCTCCTGTTCTTGTGGTATTGAAGGTTGATTTTAAAGCACTCAAGAGCTGAACCAAGGCTAATTTTCTGGCTTAAAATCATTTTCATTCCCTACGTATACTTGGCAGGCTATAGGCTTTACATAATCTTGGCAGCAAGAGTATGAAAACTTTCCCTCAGGGCTCAAGAAGTCAGTTGTGTCCAATTTTTAGCGTGGATAATCTGATAAAAATTTTACAGATGTCTATTGGACATCAGGTTTGTTAAGACTTTTACAAAGAAGCAAAAAATACATAGCCTCTATCCTGAAGGGTTTTTTTTTTTTTTTTTGGAGGCGGGGTTCCATTTGGGAAGAGAACACCTTTACACATAAAATAGTATACAGTTACCTCCATAGGCAGGGCATTGCAAGTTAGGGTCAAATTTATATTGCAAACAACAAAAGGGATGGTTACTGAGAGTTGAGGCACTTGAGAAAGTTCTGTGCAGGAAGAGGTCAAGTTAAAGACCCTTGAGTTCACAGTCTAGTTAAGAGAATTTATAAATAGATGAGAAGTTGAAAGTATGTCTTAAGGTTAAGTAATAGTTGAGAACAATAATAAAAGAAATGGCACTATTCAGAATATGATGCAGGAACAAAGATGTGCACTTTTTTTTTTTTTTTAAGGAATTCAGAAAAAGAAAGCTGTTGATGGCATCAGGCCAGAGTGGAAAGAGAAGGCTTTTAAAACTAAAAATCTCAGATAAGACTTTGCCTCTGGGTCACCTATTGGTAGAAGAAGAAACTTTCTGTAAACGATCCTGAGGATTTCTGCCTCCAGGCCTAAACAGTTTAATACCTCTGAGGCTCAACTTAGACAACTGCATTCCTAGATTCCATGGTGAAACCCTCACAGTATTCCAGTTCTCACCTCAACCAGCCCTACTGTGGAGGCGCAACCTCAGGTGCCCTTCCTGTATCGGGAGGAATGTACAGCAGCTTCTGCAGTGGACCTGCTTTCCTCCCAGGATTCCTCTCGAGGTTTGAACATTTAACTCCTGAGGAGACCTTGAGACATACAACAGGAAGCAATAGGCAAGCAGGATGGAAAGCTATTTCATCTTTTGTGTGTTGGTATATGTAAATAAAAACACCCATCACATCATTGGTAGAAGTTTTGCTTTGATAAGAGGGATTCTGATACACTAATAATTCAGGTTTTCTCTGGAATTGTATTTAAAAGTCAATAGGGACTTCTCTGGTGGTCCAGTGGTTAAGAATCCACCTTCCAATGCAGGGGATGCAGGTTTGATCCCTGGTCGGGGGACTAAGGTCTCTCATGCCTCAAGGCATCTAAGTCTGTACCACAACTACTGACCCCAAAGTGTGCTAGAGCCCATGAGTCAGAGCTGAGACCAGATGCAGCCTAATTAATTAAAAAATAAAGATCAGTATATTAAAAGGTTTAGGCAAGTATGCTATTTCAATTATATTCTTATTTCTGATTTTCTAGAGAATTAAATTTCATCATAAGTATTGGAGTCCATTGTAGGTCATTAAAACATTCATGCTCTTTGTAGATCAAATCTAACATTTCTATCACTTTATCAGTTGTATCTAATATTCCTTGCACCTAAATTACCATGTTCAAAATGTTCTCAGTTTTAAAGATTGAATGAAAGTATCTTTTAAGACATTTACTTAAAACACTTCTCTACATTTATCATCCTATGTTATATATACAGTTCTAATGAGACATTGTTTGCTTCAATTCTCTGTTATCTTTTTGCCAAGTTTTAACCAATGCTATTAACTTATTCATACCATCTAGCCATGTGTAACAGAAAAAGGAAATGAATACCTGTTAATTGCATTCTGTGCCAGGTGATTGGTAACACTGTTGAGGCCTCACAACTCTGAGGTCTAGGTGTTGTTAAAAAGACAGTAAAGAAGAGAATAAGTTGCTTTCTAAGACTGCATAGGTGGTAATAATAGAATCAGGATTTAAACTCAGGACTTCAGGTGCCACCACCAAAGATACTTCCCTACTGGCAGTGGTTCTCAAAGTGAGGTCTCTGGACAAAAGCATCAGCATCACCTGGGAATTTGATAGAAAAGCAAATTCTTGGGCTCCACCCTAGGAGTCAGAAATTTAGTAGGGCACCCAGAAATAAGTTTTAATAATCCTTCCAGATAACTGATGCACACTGAAGTTTGAGAATCACTGGTCTATGCCAATAGTCACCTTTTTCTCAGGTCAGAATCACCTGGAGAGCTGATAAAATTTCTAAATATCCAGGCTGCACCTAGATCAATGAAGTGGAATCTGTAAGGGTGGGAACAGGGCAGCAGTAAAATGGTTCATCAGGTGATTCCACTGTGCAGTGTCAGGGGGAAAAAAAGCTATATATTACATCCAGGCATTGCTCCAACCCAAAATAATAATTTCACTCAGGCCTTTTTGGAGCCCAACCCTCCATTAGCTTATGCCTCAAGTATAGATATGAAATAAGAAGTGGAGCATTCTTTGGCTGTCGATTTATTAGGGACTGACCAACTTCCAGCAAAATATATTAGCATGTCAGTGTGTGCATCTATTGAAACTGAATCATAGAACATTGAAACTGAAAGATTCTAGGGTGAATCTCTTAAAGACGAGAAAATCAGGGCTCGGAGGTGTAAACTAACAACCCAGATTGAAGAGTCTGTTGCAGAAGTGCCCTTTCTGTCTTAAATGTCTTGAATGTATCCACTATATGAACATAGACAACACTATCCTTTTTATCTCGCTTCCATCTTCTTTCTTTGGGCCTTGAATAAAGATCAGAGAACTGATTGACAGCTGAAGGGTATTTTTGCAAGCATCATGCCTGATTGGGAGATTGCACAGAATAATCTGAGAAAGATCTGCCCTCTTTAAAAAAAAAAAAGCACAACGTGAGAGTTGGGAGTTAAGTTTTATTTGCAGCAAAATGAGGACTATAGTCCAGGAGACAGCATTTAAGATAACTCTGAGAAACTGCTCCAAAGCACGTGTTTTTGTGTGTGTGTGTGTGCGCGCAAAAGCTTTCTGTTAGTCACAAGGAACAGCTGTTACCATGAAAGATTTAGTGTTTTTCTAGATATGAGGAGGTACAAGAATTGGGCTTATAAAATCAGCTCCTGGAAATATCTTATCTGAAGACCTGTTCTGAGTTTTCCCAGAGCACAGTGCCTCATTGCTATCTCCACGTTGAACTCCTTTCAGGGGTGTTGAAAATCAGTAGTGGAATCTAAAAAGGATGCTGATCTTCTGCAGCAGCTCATGATTTAATCCTTATAGAGGCAGATGGCAAGTGCCAATTTGGAGTTGACAGACCTAGTATCAAATTGAATCAGATGAGCTCTTCTGCAACTAATTTCAATAGTTCAAAACTAGAGAAGTATGGTTTGTTTTTAACATTGGACATTGTTTTTGTTGTGTAAATAAGCAATTTTTAAAAATGAAACAACATAAGGTTCTCAACTGTGTGGGAGAGTAGAGTTCATGTAATTTCATGTGAAGCTGATCAAGATTTTATTCCAATCTATTTTAGCCGAAATTTATCTCTGGACAGATGGGTTTTTCCTACATTCAACAAATGAGTGCCTACCATGTGCATCAGATCAGGATCAGCTGTTGTGAGAGGGACAGTGTTGGAAGAACGGATTGTGGGGTGGGCAGATGATGAAAAGTTGTCCATGGCGG